ATATTAATTAATCTTTAATATATTTTATTATTAAATTTATAAGTGCTATTTTAAGGTATTATTGCTTTATATCTTAGTTTTAGATTATTAATGCAGTTTTAGTCTTTAGTATATCTAATAATGCGGCTAGCTTTTATTAGTCTTTAGTATAGTATAAAAATAGCATACTATCTTTAGTTATAGCTCTTAAAGTAAAGGAAATAGCCTTGCCTTGCGCGTTCTTATAAGTCGGGTATGTCTTTGGATTCCTGTGGGTCGACATTGTTAAAGCAAAAACGGGTTGATTGTATTGTTGTTAGTTCTAAGTTACATGTGTCCGAGAGGAGCACAGCTCCTTACATAGTATCCACATCCCAGCCACCAGCAGATCGGACCACCTTAGCCACACTGTCTCAACAGACCTGTCGTTCGACATCTTGCATATAGATCGTAGAAGGCATTTTGAATGAGAGAAAAAAGAAATAAAGTACTAGTTTGGAAGATGGCCCTTTTTATATAGCGTTTTAATATGATAATGAGCATAAGAGGACTCTTATTTGTGATTTATAAACTGATGCCTGGGGCGGTGCATGAATCTGGGTCGTGGCTCGACATGATTCGATGTGGCTTCGCATGGCTGACACGTCGCATTCTACCAGGTTTATAAATTTAAGTTTTTATTTATTATTATATTTTTAATTTCTATATATTTTCTATTAGATTTAAATCTATATCTGCCTTACAGCTAGGATAAGATAGGGCTATTTAGCATTTAGGTAGAGTCGTTGAACCCTTTGAATTAATGCATTAGCTTGAGGATGGCGCGATGAATTCGATGGCTTTGGCTTATGAGATGCAAAGCCATAATATGCCATGGAGCTGTTAGAAAGCGTAAGAAACTTGACACATTCACTAGAGAAAGGTAACTCAAATAACTTACTATGCAGGATCGGGCTGGAACTTCCAATACTCCGGGTCTAGCTCCCTCGCTCTTCTACGAGCAGTTTGGTACAACTCATTTGTCTCCTCATCCCTGGTGCACAAGTCGAGATTGGCAGCTAAGTTTACCATAGTCCGTAATGTGAAACCATTTCCATGCCCTAGAAATTTCACCCCGAGCTCCAGTGCGTCTGCGAGAAGATTCAATGACTGCCAGTATCTAGAGTCGCGTTGATATATCATTGAGTAAGCGAGATTGGCCATGTTGCGCAATGTGTCTTCGTGCTCGGGCCCAAGGTAGCTCTGTCGTAGTTGTAGTGATCGTCGTGTGATCTTCTCGCATCTTTTGTAGTCTTGGTCTTTGTCGAACAGCGTATGAAGGAGATCCATTGCAACCAAGTACGTTGGTTTCCCTTCGTCGAGGCAATGGGAGACTTCCTCGAAGATCTTTTCGCCTAGTTCGCAAGCTTCATGGTACTTCTTCTGACTTACCAAATCTAAGATCTGTGTTCCCATTTGTTTGGTCGTGTCATCGATGACCGCCTCTTGGATATGGGAAATCATCATTTCCAGTGCCTGGCGTTCTGCTTCCCGCTGCTCCCAGCCACGATACTGTGTACAATACCGGTCTGCCAACTCAAGTAGTCCAGCGATTGTGGAGCGGTTCTCTTCCGGTTTGGGCCTTGTTCGCTTTGCGTCCAGCAGCTTTCGGCTTAGTTGAGATTCCTCGTCATAGATACCGGCTAGTTTCGCCGCCTGGCTTTGAGTTGTGATTGCTGAAATAGTTACAGCGTGCTTAGGTCCGAAGGACTGCTCACAGCGCCTAACTACTTTTCCCAGTGTTTCATACGAAGCTCTGTACTCTCCGTTGGCCATTTGGATCATTCCAAAGGCTTGGCTCAAAGCTATGGAAGTTGAATGAGTTTCGCCAAGTCGAGTGTCCATGTTGGAGCTGACAGCATGGTAAACAGCTTGGGCATCGCCGAGAATCCCCTGTTTGCGATAGTGGGCTTCGTAGGCAGCTAAGACGATTTCGGTTTCTAGGTTGTTGTACCGCATCGGATTCAGGTCTGTCTTGATGCCCTCCACATCACTTTCAACGGCTTGCATGGGTAGGCCGCAGTCTTCCAACAGAACCTGAGCTTTATTTTCGTCGAGAGGGGTGCCGAACCCAATATAATGGCAAAAGGCGAGCTGATATGTTGTGGATCGGCGAATGTCATCTGAGAGGAGGTCGCATTCTTCATAAAGGTCCTCAAAGAGATGGAAAATATAATTCCATAGGCGATAGTCGCAGTGCATCAATTGTCGAAAACTCTTAGGCAGCTATTATAATGATAATCAGCCTCTTGATACACTATAGGTCCTGGTGTTTTATTTCCGTAACACATACCTCAAAAATCAACTCTTTGTCGCGGGCAAAAGCGTATCCATTGGCGTATGGATTATAAAAGTCTGACCAGGAGAGTTGAGTTTGTTCAAAGTGCTTGGCTTGCGCCCGGGAGACATTGAATTCGCGGTGGTGCGGGAGCACACTGAGATACGGCATATACATCTCATACATGCTAAAACCGTCGTTGTCTAGTGGCGGTACGCTAGAAAATCAAATTAGCGTCAGTCTCCTTGTTGGGATCAAGTTCACAACGGTTCAAGAACGCACACGAAAGCCGCAAATCCCTCCATGCATTTTTGAAGATCTAGACTCCTATCGTTAGGATCATGAGAAATCGTAGCATTGAAGAAACCACACAGGGATCTCTTGTCGTCTTGATTGAGGCCAGTGAGCGTTTGAACTTGGCTGTGAGCAAATGGCAAAAGCTGCCCTTCGCTCTTGGCGGTGCTGATACGGTCAAGGATCTGGGGAGAGTCCGCGAAAAGAAGCCATAAGCAAAGCAACCCGAATGAGTAGATGTCAGTTAATCTGGCCTGATGCAAAGAGTAATCTTCCTCCAGGCAAACTTCTGGAGCATTCCAGGGGTTGGAGATGGGTAGCTCAATGCGTCCATCTGTAGATGCAGTTACCTGCAGCGTAGCGAATCCAAAGTCCGTCACCTTGGCCACCAAGCCGCCGTTTGTATCGTTGAAAACCAGAATGTTATGCGGTTTAATGTCTCCATGTATAATTTCTAACAGAGCAGAGAGGCAGACTGGTTAATATCTATTCAAACGTACATTAAGCAAAAGGGGTCCTGACATACTGATACTATGCATCAACGTTATCGCCGCAGCGATATCCTGGCACAGCTCCAGCCGCTGTTTGGTATCGAGTTTTCGCCCAGTATCCGATTCCATGAACTGTTTGAGGTCCTTGTTCTCGGCTTTTTCGAACACTAGCACGGGCCAGATCCGTTCCTGCTCATTGGAAGGGATGTCCCAGCATATACCCGTCAGTCTCACGATGTTAGGATGTCCGCGAATCATTGAATGGCCGAGAACCGTCACCTCGGCTGTTAGAGCTTGCATAGCCCTGGAATTATCTGCAGGTGTCTTGAGATCTTGTTGTCGGATTCTTTTATACACATAGCTTAGTTTGCTATTGACGTTAGATTGGCTAATACTGGCCTGGCCGCCGGCGCCAACTCCACGCATGCTGTCGTCCCATGTAACGGGTAGAAAGTCAACCCCTCGGGTCTGCGCCGTTGCCAGGAACGAAAGGAAAAGACTAGCTGCATTGAGCTTGACTGGTTGTTGAGTGTCCGAGAAGCCCAACGACGGTGCAGCAGCAGAATAGGAGGTTTCATCCCGGAAATATGGGACTAGACCCTCCGGCGGGGCGTAATCGCCTAGATCCAGGACGAGAGAGTCCAACACTAAATCATTGGCCATCTGACTCTGAATAGTAGGTTTAAAAGAAAAATCTGCAAGTGTTGTAAAAACTAGACGGTGGTAGTGGGAGAAGTCAAGGGAGGTGTCAAGAGTAGTCGTGGTATACCTTGCTGAGGGACTTATTCAGTTACTAGTCATCTTCTATGTCGGGTCAATATGCCCCTCCTTTGGGGGCCAAATCGAGTGGTACGTTCCCTCTATGGCATTCCCCTGCGTTCTGGCCTTCCATGGCTCAAAGATAGGCCGCTGCAGCACGGTTGCTGGGCATCCAGAAATCAATGAGGCCACCCAGTCAGGTTCCGTCCACGGAGCACGTCCACTCACGGGAGAAAATGATAGGTGGTAGGCTTGGGGGCATGCCAGATGCCTTGTGAGAGGGGCTGATGCTTTGGGTAAATGTTGGGGATCTCGGGCTTTCTCTTAATCACGGTCTGTCAAGGAGGGGAGGGGGTGTCACCACGGGCAAGGTTTCCTTGCATGCTCTCCAATAGATTCACCTGTCAGATTTTAACCTGTATAAACACGCCACGTAATCCAGCTCTTCCCAATAATACATTGACTCGTGTCTTGGTGGTGGAGAACCCGCGGTCTAGGTCACTTTGGCACTTCTACCATACGTACTTCATGTGCGCTTTTCTTTTTTGGCATTCACTACATCGGGAATTGCTAGGATACTCTTCATCGGTTGAGTTTTCTAAGTCGATTTCTCATCTTCAACCACACGAGAGGCCCAAGATGACTCATTTAACTAAATAAAGTGAAAAATAAAAAAAAAAAAAAAGACTGACCCTCAGGCCTGAAATAGCCTGATAGAACGAGAACATCTAGTATGAATGCCTAGTCTGTCCGAACACCATTGGAAAATTTCCTGGTCTCCGTTTTGTTGGTATCCAGGTTAGTAACTCTGAAGTTCCCATTCTTTTTGCCACCGGTCCATTTGCCCTTATAGATTCTGCGCTTGTCATGGGCATATTCGGTCCCATTTCCTTCCATTTTTCCCTTTTTCCACTTCCCCTCATACCAGCTTCCACTATCCCAGGTCATCCTACCCTGTCCGTCCTGGTATCCGTCCTTATCAACCTGTCCGGTGTAACGTAGTCCGCTCGGCCAGTGAATATTACATTCCCCAACCGGCTTGTCTTTATCCCACTTACCCCTAAGCACAGCACCGTTGCGCCAGGTATGGACTCCGCTTCCGGATCTCTCATCATTATCCCACCAGCCTTCATATGTCCCGGCGCTCTGGTGTATCCTTTTGCCGTATCCATGCTTTTTGCCTTCTACCCAATCTCCGTCGTACTCTGCATCCTTCGTCTGCAATCTGCCTCGACCCGAGTATAACCCATCTCGCCATTGTCCGGTGTAGATGCTCTTGTCGTCGTACTGCATTGTCCCAGTTCCATGTGGCTCCAGATAGGAGGGGGAAAACGCGCCAAATAGGCTGGGAGCATCATAAACTTCGCCATCATAGTACCCTCCTCCTCCTGCAAGTGTCATACGCTCACGCGCCACTGTCTTCTTCGTTGCCATTTAAGTTAATTCCTCGCTCTCAGATTGAACCTTGGCCCGTTGTTGTAGGAAGGGAAGGGCACAGAAACTAGGAAACACATTGCATGAATCAGCTCTCTGGACACACATGACGTGCAAGGGAAGTCGGGTTTACCGAGCACTTTCAAGTCACTTATCTGCTGTAGTGTAAAACTGCTTTCAGAAGAAAAAAATTACGTTGCCAATGGGCTCGAATAAATGGGAAGAATAGAGGAGATTGCAAGCACTAATATATCAGAAGATGAGTGAAATCTGGCAGGGCCAGAATATTGTGTTTGTTAATTGAATTCACAAGCTAATCGAGCGGCGGAATTTAAAGATGTTGATGAACCTTCTGCCCCTACGGGATTCGTGCAACGAGTCGGGAAACTGAAAGACTGCGGGCTGTGCTTGTCAGGCGGCAGCTGACCCATCACCCCCTGCTGTCAGCATTGGTATCTGACCACCGAATGCAACTGTGGTCACAAGAGGTTTGTAGTGGCTGGCTGAATATGCCGGCTTGACCGAGCCGGATGTTACGTGGTACTTGGTTGAATTTAGGCAGCGACCTGCTAGTAGTGCGGGGGGACGGAATGTAACATATCGAACACGTCCCTTTTTTTATCATGGTGAAATTCAAGTGAATGAATGATACCAGTCTGTACTCATTGCGGCTGATTCCAATTCACCCTGCCTAGACAGCAACAATGGATATCTACGGAACCGCTACGACGGCCATCACTCAGCTGATCCAGGTCGCCATCTTTATCAAAGGTGTCATTTCAGACATGCGATCGTACGAAGAAGACCGCGCCACAATTCAACTGAAGCTGGACCTCCAACTGGTCTCCTTGGAGATGTTCTACCGCAGACTACTAGATAAAGAGGGTGGGCTGCTTATCAAAAAACCACCATTATCCGAGAGGGCAACAAATGCCATATGCGGACTCTTGATTAAAATGAATGGCGTGCTTGCAGAATACAGCGAGATTATATCCCGGTATGATCTTCGGTCAGACCTGGCTGTTCCCACCGATGCCGATGACAACAACAACAGCAGCACTGCGGTGGATGAAAGGCGGTTCACTGAGTGGAAGAACCGAGGACTCAAACAGGTTCGCGAAAAGTGGAAGAACCTCAAGCTCAAGGGCTTCCATTGGGCGCTTTTCGACCGAGAGAGGCTTCTAGCTGTTCTAAGCAGTTATAAAGAATGGTCCGACAATCTTCGAGATCTCATGCAGCACTTTGCCCAAGAGGCCATGTACGAGATGGCAGATGCGGGTGTTGCAGGGCTAAGCCTTGCGGCGAACGCCGGGTTGGAGTCTGTGGCCAAGCGACAAAAAGTCGCTGCTGAGCCGCATGCACCAGATGGATTCGCGGAGCTGGGTGGCGAGATCGTGGATGAGGCATCCCGATCCGATGGCTTTCAGCTTGCTCGCTGGGTTAGGGCCGACTCATCTTCGAGGGTGATGGTTGAGTATCGAGACTATCCCGCCGGTCTCTTGGAGGATGACCTGGATCCGGAGGGGATCATGGATCTGAAACAGCCCATCCGGGATCTTGCGTGGCTTCTTCAGAATTCCTCCTTCGCAGATAGTGATGCAAACGCCGAGCAAGTAGAGCAACCTCTCATATATTCATTGCAATGCATTGGGTATCAGGACCAGGTGGATAAGAAGCGTTTTGCCTTGATCTACCAGCTTCCCTTCAGTGTGGCCGACCAGCCCGAAAGCAAAGCGCCCCTACTTCTGACGCTCCACGAGCGCATCCTTCAAATTGAGATGAAGACTAAACATCCCCAGAAACCACCCCTGGGTTCCAGGTTTGAGATTGCTTATTGCATATCCCTGTCTCTTTCCAACATTCACGGCTCTAGGTGGCTTCATAAAAATATATCGAGTCAAGGGATCCTTCTATTTCAAAGAGAAGAGAAAGGCATCCGGCCACTGCAACCGGGCTTCTCCGGCCGTGGGTGCCTTGCCTTCCTCAATGATTGGGAATATGCCCGTCCCATGGATAGCCGGACGCATATGCGCGGTGATTTTGATGCTGTGCGTAATCTCTACCGCCATCCTGATCGACAAGGAGCGCCCGGCCGCGAGTTTGCCCGCAAGCACGATATCTATGCTCTGGGGGTTGTCTTGTTGGAGATTGGCATGTGGAGGACAATGCCGCAGCTCTTTGCTAGCCGGATCAAGGACGCGCAGCGGACTGGAAAGTTGCCCCGAGCAAAGGATGTATATCAGGCTCTCCTGTCGCTCGCGCAAATTTCTCTTGCCAATGAAATGGGCAGCAACTATTCAGCGGCCGTCATTGCTTGTCTGAAGGGAGACTTTGCTCAATCATCCGATGTAGACTTTTCTCTAGATTTTCGGGAGAAGGTCATCGATAGGATGAGTATAGGACTGAAGCTGTGATTATACCTATACCGACAAGAACCGCAGCATACCTGTCGACCCTCTTGGATTAATATCTCCAGGTCTGCCATTGCTGTAATGAGTTAGAGAGCTAACTTTTCCGTTCTAGCGAATATAAAGAGCCTCCAATACTACTCATTCTTCATTCTACATACTTGTGTCCACCAGATCTGGATCAGATGTGTAATGTAATCGCTTGTGCCTTTCCCTACTCCGCTTGTACTCTGTGGACCACGCTTTTGTGGCCAACCTCGGAGGGGTTGGCATGCTTGCCCCACAATGCCAACAGGTAGCGGAGTGGTGGTGTCTTTCTCTCTGGAGTGGTCGCTGTGTATTGCGGAGGGCCAGGGAATATTCCCACTCCAATACTGTACGAGGGTTCTCCGCTGCTCTCTAATCTTTAGCCGTGGGACCGGCTTGCCTGCTGAGCCTCCATTCCTTTTCACATGCACAAACAAATATTGTTTGCGGGATTTCCGGAAGGATAACGATGCGAGTAGCTGAAAGACCCTGGCTGTGAGATGCAGCCTATGAAGCTAATAGGGCAACTGAGCAAGGATCCCGTGTACACAGTTGGGGCCAAGGCTTGAAATTGGAGCCCAAGGACTGGAGGCGACCCAGGATCGTGTAGGGTGTGACCCCCGGCCTGGTCAAACCATTGGTTAGAGGGTGAGTCACAGCCCTGTCGCTGACATGCCGATCAGCGGCCCACCTCGTTGGTTGTCAACCGAGGCTGGCTGCTTTATCGCCTTGAGTTCTCTTGACAATCACCACAGGTTGACGACTTCGGCTAGCCGCTAATTCGGGTCCCAATTTTGCTTTGCACGGCCTTGAACTGGGCTTATATAAAAAGCCAAGTTCTAGGGGACTTAGCGCAGCGGTCCTTGAGCTAATCTAGTCCGTTGGCCTGTACAATACAATACAATACAATTGATTACGCCCGGCGGCCTGTTCTGACTGAAAGGGCACTAGTCGCTAATGCTTACATACAACGCCTGCTTTTCGTCCTATGCCACACATTGCTCAATTTATATCCGCATTTTCCTAAAGCCTATACTAAACCTTGGTTTTACACCATCAATCTAAAATTCATATCCTCAAGCCTATATAGCGCCTGCTCCTTGATTATTCTTTTCCTTTCTGTTACGAATTTGACAGAGCTCATCACGTGTACCCTACAATTTCCAACTAATCTATAGTAAGTCAAACCTACCTAGTTTAACTTACAGAAACAATCCACTAAAGAAGTAACTAACTACTAATCCTATTAAAGTTAAATATAACTAAATTAACTTTATTTAACTTATAAACTAAATAGAGTTAAACCGGCTTTATTTAACTTAATAAATATCTATAAAGTATATAAAATATATTTATTAGTACTTTTATAGAACTTAGTTTACTAGCTATTAATAAAACTTCTTTATATTGATTAAGCCTAATATATATTAAATCTACTATTAAGAGATGTGATACTTTAATAACGCTTAGTTTATGCCTTATATAATCTGTAAATAGAAACCTAGATTAGACTAGTTTTATAGTTTAGAACCTAACTATTATAT